GGCGGCGGGAGGGGTCCCGCGGGCCTCGCGGAGCTGCGGGATGGGCGCGGGCGCATGAGCCGCGCCGGGGTCGGGGCCCTCCGGCGTCCGGGCGTCCGGGGAGGCGGCCGCGGCGCTGGTCTGCCAGGGGCGCTGCGTGCGTGCGCGCCGGAGGGAGCCGAGTGTGTGTGCGTGTGTCTGTGCGTATGTGTGCCTGTGTGTGTGCGTGTGTGTGTGTGTGCGCCTCCGTGTGTGTGTGTGTGTGTGCGCGCGCGCGCGCGCGCGCGCGGCACCTCTCTCCGGCGGGAGGGCCGCGGGGGGCGGGGGCCGGGCTACGCCGAGGCCAGGCCTCCCTCCTTCCCTTCTTCCCTCCCTCCCGCAGCCTCCCGGGCGCGCCACCTCCCGCCTGGTCCCCAGCCAGCTGGCGAGGCGGCCGCGGCGGCTCCCGCTGCAGACCGAGCGCGGCGCGCGGCGCACGCGGAGGGAGCCAGGGAGGGGCGGCCGGTGCCGCTGGGGAGGGGGCGGAGGCGGGCCGAGGCCTGGGTGTTGCCAGAGTGGGGGTGGGAGGCGGAGCCACCGGCAGGTTTCGGCGGGGGGATGGGAGGATAAATGAGGCTGCTGGGGTCCTTCTCGCCCAGCTCCCCGAGAGCGCCTGCTGCCACGCGGGGCGGACAGTTTGAGAGAACCGTGCCTGGGGGAGGAAACGGGATTCAGCCCGAGAAGGCCGACCAGCAGCTTAAGGGAGAGGAGAGATCGGGGTGGGGTGGGGGTGGGGGTGGGGGGAGAGTGAGAGCACGAGGGGAGGGCGTTCCCCGGGGCCAGCCACCTGGCGCCGGCGCGTGTCCCTGGCCGGGCGCACCTCCTCATCGCGTGGTGGGGTCCCGAGGGCCGCCTCAGCCCCCGCGAGCGTCGCCGGACAGGTGGCCCAGCACCTGCTGATCCTGAGCTCTTATCCAGAGAGCGCTGAGGATGGCACCGGCGGCCACTCTTGGGGTCCGGGCCTCAGGGAAGGATGCGGCATTCCCCCTTCCTTGTCCCCTCCCCGATGCTTTCCCCAGAAACAATCCTTGGTTCCCCGAGGCTGGGCGCCGGGTGCACCCAGAACCTCCTTCCTCTCCTCCTGCACCCGGTGCCTCGCGACGGCCCCACTCCCGACCAGCCCGGGGAGGGAAGCCGAGTCTCCGGTAGGCGCGCAGCTATTCCTTGAGTCGGAAGAGGAGGCCTCGCCCGGCTTTATCCCCTTCTCACATCAGCCACCTTTGCCCACTTCCCCCAATCCCCCTCAGGTCGTCGAGGAGTTTCCCACGATCACCGACCCCCTTCATCTCCACTTGAGCAGTGGAGCTCCCAATGGGTAGGCTGAAGGCGCGGAGACCCAGGGCTCCCCTTCCTGGGTCTGGCGACCTTCCTTGGACCCCAGCCAAGGAAGAGATGGAGACTGGGGTGAAGGGACGCCCCCAGGCGGCGGTCTAAGAGACCGGGCAGAAGTGGCCAAGGGCACCGCGGAGTAGGCCAGGGAATGGACCCAACCTTGCGCGGCTCGCGGGCTCCGGAGCGCTGACCCCTCTGGATCGCCCCCTCAGGCGGTGCTCGGGCTCCCCATCCGCAGGGACTCGGGGCCAGGCGAGTCTGGGAACCCTATGCCTCACCGAGGCTCCCCTGCTGGGGCGCTCTCCACCCCATTTCTGGGACTCACGGGTGCTTGCGCCCCCCGCCCTGGGACAGATCGAGCTGTGGCCACATCTGCGCTGTCGGGGTTGCGTTGGGTCTGACGGCGCCGTTAGGCACAGGGACCGGGAGCCCCGCCCGGAGCAGGTGCTCCCCCAGAATTCATTTTGGAAATCGAGGCTCCTGCGCTCGGCGAATGAGCCTGGCCCCGGTGAGTCACCGCGAGCGGCCGACAAGGATTCCCGCAGCTGGTAATTAATTGCGCCGGGGCTCGGCCCACGACGGAACCCCAATTGGGCCTCCTGCCGCCCTGCAGCAGCGCCACCCCTGAGTCACAGCCGTCGGGCCTCAGCCATCCGAACGCCGCCTGCCCTCCCGGGCGCCACCAGGGGGCACTGGACTCCGACCCACAGGTGGTCCCGCTCTGAGCCAACTCGGTAGGGGAGTCCAGGCTGTCCCTGCCTGCAGGTGCGGGAGCGCGGCGGAGGGGGCGGGCGTGGCGCTGGTCTGCTCTCCATCGACAGAACCCAAGCTTTGTAGAGAACTGCTTTTATTCCATTTCCATACAGGCTTTCAGGAAAACCGTTTTGTGCGCGAGAAGAACTAGCCCGAACTGCTTGTCTTACAGATGGGAACACTTCCAACGGAGAGAATCACGTGCCCAGGGACACAGGACGAATACCATCTAGAACCCACTCTTGAACCTCTGCCCGGCTTCTGTCCAGCACTCCTTCAAGAACTCCAGCTGCCTTCTGACCCCAAAGCCACGTGCCTTGGATAGCCACAGACCACCCCCCCAAAAAATTGGTTCCTCCTTTTCGCCTCCAAGATAGGCCTTTAGACTCAAAAGAAACAAGCCCAGGGAGTCAGACCTCAGGGAGGGGTCTTGGGGGCTGGACAAGGACCCAGACACCCTCACACGCATCCCTCTCGACACCCCACACTCCTCCCACGGTCTTGACATACAGATGGAAGTGAGCACGTGAAGCAGAACCTGGCTCTTGACATCTTCCCCGTGCCCCCAGCATTCTCCCCCTCAGTTCCTCAGCTAGCAGTGTGGGTCGGTACCCCTTGACTGTCCACAAAGAGGTTAGACTAGTGACAGTGCCTCTGGGGAACCCAAGCCCCTCTCCACCTCTGTGGTTCTGGGAGCACCAGCTCCAGCCCAGCTAGAGAGGGATCTGGAGCCCAGGATTGGCCCTGGCCCCGGAGATTGGCTGGGCAGGGCTCAGCTCCCAACCAACTGGAAACACCCTGGGAAAGCATTTCTAAGAGGAGCTAGGGCAGAGGTGGGGGGGGGGGGGCAGGAAAGCCCCCCCCCCCCAAGCAAGAACTACCTGATTTAGGGGAACAAATGCATCCTCTGTGCAGCTTAGGCCACTGTCAGTTAATCCCGAGCCTGACCAGTGCCACTGGCAGCCTGTCCGTGCCCCTCCAGTGGTCTGTCCCTGGGCCTCCCTGGACCTCAGTGTCTTCTTCAGTACAAACAAATGTATTTGATCAGATAATAAAGAACATCATAGTTTTATAACTCTTTCCTGCCTACTTGTTTGCGAGGTTCTCTACACGCGTTGGTCATGTTCTTAGCCTCCAGGGGCTAAGGCGTATTACCCTATCTAACCCAGGGAAGCCAAGCGGTGTATTCTGGCCCCCCAGTGAGTCGGAGTGGACCCGACTCCCAGCCTGGTCCTTCCACAGCGGCCCCCTGTGGAACCGATCCTGCTGCTAGCTGAAGGCAGGGAGCTGCCGTGCTCTAGGCCCGGCTCCCACGCTGGGGCCTGGTGTCTCCACGAGCAAAATCATCCCTGCTTGCCCCGGACCACTTGCCGGCAAGTGGTATGCGGGCAGAGGGAACAGCATGAGCAATGGCACGGAGGTGTAAGGTGCTGCGAAGACCGTTGTGCTGAAAGGCTGGTCCCGGAGAACGGGAGGCGGGAGCTGAGGGTGGTGATGCCGAGGGTGGGCCTAGCTTTGACCAGGAGCTCCTGGAGGGTTTTCAGCAGGGAAGTACAAGAGCCGGCGTGTTCAGAAGGTAGTTCAGAAGGTTGCAGGCAGAGGAGAGAGGGGGATGGCGCGGCTGGCGGCTGGCGGCCGCCGGGACCTGATTTG